GGATCCAACCCACAACCCAAGCGTATGCTCTGACCAGGAATCAAACCATGACCTCCTTGTTCATAGGTCAGTGCTCAACCACTGAATCATGCAGGTCCTTTTTTCTTTTTGCTGTTCTGATTGGGTGTTTTCTGCTACCTTATCTTCCAAATTGTTGATTTGACCCTCTACTTCATCTGTACTGTTAATTACCTCTAATGTATTCTTCAGTTCAATTATATTCTTCATGCCTGACTAGTACTTTTTGTTTTATATGTACACTAAAAGCCTGATGCACGAACTTCATGCAAGAGTATGCCTTCCTTCCCCTGTCTGCTGTCACCGGCTTTCCTCTGGCACCTGGGACTCAGGCTTTCCTCCGGCCCCCGGAAAGAGTATGGGTGGGCCCACAAGTTGGGTGTGGTGGGGTGTGGTCTCAGGGAATCACCAAGGAGAGCAAACAGTGTTAGCCATGTTGATGGAGACTCAGTTATATCTCCCACCTTCTCATGCAGGTGAGGGGCTCAGCAAAGGAACAATGGCCTCTGCCAGCACTTATGTTAAAGCCAGCCCTCCTGCTAAAGCCAGACAGGTCAGTCCCACCTCATACGTCCCTGGCTCCTTTTGAGCTTCTGCCCCAGCACTGTATCTCACAGTGAGTGAGTCTATCAGTGAGTAAGTTTGTGTGCAGGATCTCTAAGAGGAACCCCTGTGACTCCAGGAGCTCTTTGTCTCAGCCACAACCCCCACTGGTTTTCACAGCCAGAAGTTGTGAGGGCTTCCTTTCCTGGCACTAGAACCCAGGGCTGGGGAGCCTGGTATGGGGCTGGGATTCCTCACTCCTCAGGGAAGACCTTTGCAACTCAGATATACCTCCCGATTTTTTACCACCACCAAACGTGGGTGTGGGACCTGCTCATTCTTTGTCTCTGCCCCCCCCGCCCCCCTCCCAGTGTCGTGTGGCTTCTTGTGTATATCCTTAGTTGTAGAACCGCTCAGCTAGTCTTCAGGTGTTCTGAATGGTGTGGTTCTGTGATTTGGTTGTACTTTTGATGTGGTCAGGGGAGGAGGTGAGTGCAGCATTTGCCTTCTCTGCCATCTTGACCAGAAGCCTCTTTAAGCACATTTTTAAGAGTAATAATAACTTTTAGTGATTTTTCAGAATATTAAAACAAATATTCTATATTCACCCAAATAACAAAATTAACTTAAGGCTAACCAAATCTAGTACATTACTATTTAATTTAGCATTCTTAAGTTTGGTCAGTAGCTGAGTATCTAGGTGGATTTTAAATAAAAGTTTGATTTAGCCTGATTTTGTTCATTTAATCCTGCACAATGGGACTCCTTGGATCAGCACAGTATTTTCAAGCTATAACTAACACAATACCCCTATGCTAGCTACTCCACAAGAAGAGGCTTTTCCCCCTCACCATAACCAAATGTCATATGGTAGGTTTTGCCAATGTCAGTTAAGCACTTCACCATGTCACGTGCCAGGTCTGGGGGAGTCTCCTGATCTCCTTTCAAGAGTGCAGGATGTCTGTCTGCAGGACTTCAGGTATATACTCCCTCAAACATGTTCAAAGATAGGAAGCAGGGTATGTGGGGGATAAAAAGCTTTGTTAATCTCCTTCTTGGAGAGGAAAGCACCTTTTTCTGAACAAAATTGTGTCTGTTGTCTGAGAGCTGTGGTTGGCAAACTGGAGCTCACAAGCCACATGTGGCTCTTTCGCCCCTTGAGTGTGGCTCTTCCTAAGCCTTAGGAGTACCCTAATCCTATCTAATAATAGAGAAACATGGTAATTAACCATAACTTTGCTACCCTTCCCATTGGCTAATCAGCGAGATATGCAAATTAACTGCCAACCAAGATGGCGGCCGGCAGCCACGCAGCTGAAGCGAACATGAGGCTTGGTTGCTCCAGTGATGGAGGAAGCCAAGGTTCCCCGCCTGCCGTAGCCCAGCTCTGAGCTCCAGATGCAACAATGTTGCAATTATAGAAGCTAAACAAACCCAGAAACCTGCTTTCAGTTGCCAGCAGGCTCAGAGCTTAGAGCACCAGTGATGGTAACAGAGTTTCAATTATAGAAGCTAAACAAACTCAAATACCTGCTTTCAGCAGCCGAGGTCTCAGAGCTGGAGCCGAGCCTCAGAGCTAAAGCCGGCTCTCAGTTCCAGTAACAGCCATAGAAGGCAAATAAATCCCAGAATAAAATAAAGAAAGAAAGAAAGGAGAGGTTGGGAGCTTCAATCACCCGCCAGCCTGAAAACGCCCCTCAGCCCCTCACCCAGACTGGCCAGGCACCCCAATGAGGACCCCCACCCTGAAGGGGGTGTGACCAGCTGCAAACAGCCATCATCCCCTCATCCAGGCTGGCCAGGCAAAGAATTTTCAATAACCACCAGAGGCTTGCCCCGATGACAGTGACTGGTGCCCCGCCTTGGTCTGGCACCTCCACTCACCTGCTCCACCATCCCACTGCAGCCAACACCCGCCATGTTCTGTGCACACCCCCCTGGTGGTCAGCGCATGTAATAGTGACTGGTTGTCCAGTTGTTCAGTTGTTCTGTTGTTCTGGTCGTTCCGCCATTCGGTCTATTTGCATATTAGCCTTTTATTATATAGGATATTTAAATGCCACTTAACAAAGAAAAATCAACCAAAAAAATGAGTTCGCCTGTCACCTCTGACACGCGTGTCATAGGTTCGCCATTACTGCCCTAAGGGGTCCCAGACTGCAAAAGGGCACAGGCCAGGTTGAGGAATCCCCTACCCCCGAGTGCACAAATTTTTGTGCACTAGGCCTCTAGTTAATAACAATGTACCTACCTATATAGTTTAAGTTTAAAAAATTTGGCTCTCAAAAGAAATTTCAGTCATTGTACTGTTGATATTTGGCTCTGTTGACTAATGAGTTTGCCGATCACTGTCTTAGAGGATATGAATGAGCATGCATTTGTGCGGGTGGAGTTGGGAGGGGGGATGGTTATGGCAATTCAGTGGACAGTGGGTACCACTAGTGATTTGAATTGCTTTCTGAAATTCCTAATTTAATCAGAGAAATATTCTACCCCAAGCTATGTTAAAGTCAGTTGGCTGGTTATAAATATACTAGAGGCCCGATGCATGAAAATTCATGCAAGAGTAGGCCTTCCTTCCCTTGGCTGCCAGCACTGGCACCAGCTTCCCTCTGGGACCCGGGCTTCCCTCCTCTGGCCACCTGAAGGCACCTGGCACCCGGGCTGGCTTCCCTTGGGCCCCGGCTTTGTCAGAAAGGATGTCCAGAATGACGTCCAGAAGACATCTGCTCTAATTAGCATATTACCCTTTCATTATTATAGACTAGTGGCCCGGTGCTCAAAATTCGTGCATGGGGGTAGAGGGTGTTCCTCAGCCTGGCCTGCACCCTTTCCAACCTGGGACCCCTTGAACTTGTTCCCAACTGGCCCCCCTGCTGGTCTGCTTACACCCAACGGTCCCGCCCCCCACCAGCCTGATCACCCACAACTGCCCTCCCCTCTTGGCTTCTAACCGCCTCTACCTCGACCCCACCACCATGGCTTTGTCCAGAAGAATGTGCGGAAGGTCTCCTGGAAAGTCTCCCAGTCTAATTAGCCAGCTGGTATGTCCTGAAGGGTGTCCCAGATCAGGGTGGGGGTTCTCTTGTGGTGTGGAGTGGCCTGGGCAAGGGGCCTGTGGTAGTTTGCAGGCCAGCCACAGCCCCATGGGGTAAGGGTCCCCGCTGGGTAGCCAGCCTGGGTGAGGGGCTAAGGGCTGTTTTCAAGCTGGCCACACCTCCTTCAGGGTGGGGGTCCCTGCTGGGGTGCCTGACCAGCCTGGATGAGGGGCTGATGGCTGTTTGCAGGCTGGCCACGGCCCTGGGCAATCCAGGCTCCCAAACCCTCCTTGAGCAGAGGCCACAGCGGCTGGAAGCAGGTATCTGGGATTTATTTATCTTCTATAATTGAAACTTTGTAGCCTTGAGCGGAGCCTACAGCCAGCCAGGGCAGGTGGGAAGCTTGGCTTCCTCCATCGCCAGGGGCAACCCAAGCCTCCTGTTCGCTCCAGCTTCATGGCTGTGGACATCTTGGTTGGGTTTATTTGCATACTCGCTCCCGATTGGCTGATGGGCATAGCTAGTGGGTATAGCAGAGGTACGGTCAATTTGCATGTTTCTTTTTTATTAGATAAGATGCTTTTCACCAAAGCACAGCCCTTGTATGTCTTCAACCAGTAGGGAAAATGGCGAGGTAAAGACCATGAAAAGTCATTAGCTTTTCAAATTACTGATACTTCTATTAACTCATCATTATTAATACTTAAATGTCTTTTCCCCCAAAAAATTAGATAAGTAATCACAAGACACCCAAGTTTTCTTTTGTTTTTTAAATATTTTTTTATTAATTTTGAGAGAGAGA